AGTCGCGAGGTTAATAAATACCATAGAAACCGATAATGAGGTGTATAACCAACTTCTAACATGACATTTGAAAACAACTACCAGCTGCTGATAATAAGACCACAGTTGACATACATGCAACATATCTAACAGGCTAGGCAGTAAAGAATCAACCAAGCTTGACAACTGGACTAATAAGAGCATAAGCGTAGAGCGCCAGGTTTCACTTATTTTATTTAATAAACCAAGAGTTCCTGGGAGGTTAATAAGTGTTCCCGGGAGGTATCTAATAGATTTAGAAACCTGGCATTCTGCAATCTGATTGGTCAATTACAAGTAGGCATGATAGAATTAGTGTTATTGTTTTTTATCTCAGTTTTACTTAAAATGTACATGTATATCAATTTCTTAGCATTCATCATGTATTGTATGTACATGTCCTCTTTCTGTCCTCCTCCTCTTAGTTCTATCAAAGGATGTGGTATCTTGTGAGGCCAGTCATTCCCTAGCAGTGTGTGTCTTACTGGGTGTCTGGTCTATGACTATTGAGCTATTGGGACGGGTTTGTCCTGCCGAGTCAGTTGGTAAACTCAAGCACTCAATATTCAACCAGTTGCAAGGTAAAGATATTTAACAGAATCAGCTTAAACTTTCTACATAGCATAAGGGCATCAAAATGTATAAAAAAAGTTTAGGGTGACTTAAGAGCCAATTTTTGGAAGAAGCCATAAGCTAGTGTCTGTGGTATTTTATCAAAAATTAGTTGTTTAATTGGGGCGAGCCTGAGCGAGCCCCACATAAACGACACGAGTATGTTTGTTTGTTTGTTTGTCTATTTGTACACGTACGTCACCCCTATTTATGTGTAATACGGTAGATGCTATGCATTGAAAAGGGTATATAAATTCAGTTTTCAATATTTCATTAAAAGTGGGAGTAGCCACAATGAAATAAAATGGTGACCAACACACGGGGAAAAGTCAAGAGTTTTCTAGCAGCAAAATAAGACAGAAATTCTGTCCAAAGGCTTCTCCAACAGCCAGGCAAGGTTATAGATGCAATAAAGTAACTATTAAACTTGTTCTTGCTGATAACTCGACTTACTGTACTTGCATATGACTGTCCAAATGCTGCAAGGAATGTCAAGAAAGCAGATAGCTATGCCATCTTTAATGATGTGGATGACTTTGAATGTCTGTCACAGCCTGAACTAACTTGGACTACATTGCTACAGTTGCCTATCTAGCCATATCATTTGTGCAGTGACTTTTTCTAGCTATCTTTAATGCTTTCCAAATGCTAAACTTGCCATTTGATTACAAATGGCAAGTTTTACAAATTACAAATTGGTCAAGAACTACACTGCATGCACTCAATCAAGTTCTGAGATGCTTAAGTTGCACTGTCATGAGTATTGTTAGTCTGTCAATATCTATTGTATGTACATTGCTTTACTTGCTTAGGCTCGCCCCTTCAATGTTTTACATTCGTCTAGTAAAATGCTAGCTCCTTTAAAAAGTATTATTTTGTCAGGATTGCTTTAAACTTTTTATGCACAAGTACATCAATATTTGTATTAGAAAATGTAATAAAAAATTTGGGTGGTTTTGGAGCCATTATTTACTCAAAAATCACTCCAAAGTCCCTGTATGATCAAACCAATTTGTTCCAAAAATGAAAAGAAATCTCTTTTTATACAATTTCCCCCAATACATGCACACATGTACATGTAGATAAATGAACTTAAGTTCTGTATAAAGTTTGAGCTCATTCTGATCAAGATCGGACTTTCTCTCTTTTTAATAACTTTATTATCATTGTAGTTGTTTCTTGAATGGGAGAAGACTCTGTTGTTGCTATGGCAAGTTCATTTAGGCTCTGATGAGGACTTTATTAATGAACAATATTATTATTTGATTTTATTTATTATTAATAATATTATAACTATTATTTTGTTGTTTTGGTCGTTGTTGTAATTTTGCTTTTGAATAATATTTTCTCACAAATACAGCTTTATTCCACTACTTTCTTTTCTAGTTCAAACTTAAATTCACAACTTGAGGTACTGAAAACAACTTGCAGTTAATGCTCTTTTAGCAGCTAGTAGATTAACAACAATGATACATAGAATGATTGTAGTATTGATGGGAAGTGAGTGATAGTCATTATATAGGACTGTTGGTGAATGCATACTATATCCTACATTATCTGATACATTACACCAGATCCATTGATGAATACACAAGATAAAAGTATCAATCTTTTAATGATACACTAGAAGTCATTACATTGTCTATTGTCTCACAAGTGGTCAAGTCAATGAGATTGATATGATTATTGGGTTGTTGCAGAAGGACCTCCTCACAGGATTGACCCTTTACACTGCTAGATACACCACATGTATACACATGGGTAGATCTAATGAGTAAAGTTGCTCCACTACATGTATCTAATGGGGCAAACACACGATTTGACTTCTATATAGTAACAGCAAAGCTTATGACAAAAATGTAATATTAAAACCGTTACAGAAAGTAATAATGTACGTATAACTCATGTTGAGTGGCAGCAATAAAAAGATAATAACATTAAGTAAAAATTAATTTTACTTTACAATAGAAAATTGTCTAGTTCATTTTTTGCTTTACCAAGCTGCTCTGGATAATCCTCACACACTTTAATTAGTTTATTGCAGTTAACATCTTGACCTGAATCCATCCACCTCTGGAAGACAAGACGTAGGTTAGTAACAGTCATGGTAGGTAGTGGCTGAAGATCAGATACATCAACATCTAATCCTATTCCTATTAGCTCATAATGATTAACTGATGGCATGAATATCTTCATTAGTTGTTTCAGCTCTGGTGTCTTTTCTGTAAATAATAAAATATTTATGATACTACATGAACTATAGTTCACTGTGCACTCACTTTTACTTTTGTCAGATGACACTTCATTAGCAGATGCTCCACGAGGAACTGAATCTGTAGCTGGTGGCTCTATTATATAATGAGAGGTAAAATTAAACATCA